TGACCTACATGCTTCGGTGTCCACAGACATTTTTAACACTTCACTGGAGACATGCCATGTGCCAGCCTGTTTCAAAGCCTCCTCCATCATCCCTGTCCCCAAGAAACCAACGACCACAGGACTAAACAACTACAGACCAGTCGCCCTGACCTCTGTGGTTATGAAGTCCTTTGAACGCCTTGTGTTGTTCCACCTAAAATCAATCACAGACCCTCTCCTGGACCCCCTGCAGTTCGTCTACAGAGCCAACAGATCTGTAGATAATGTAGTAAACATGGCCCTTCACTACATCCTCCAGCACCTGGACTTCCCAGGAACCTACGCCAGGATCCTGTTTGTGGATTTCAGCTCTGCTTTTAACACCATCATCCCGGCCCTGCTGCAGGACAAGCTCTCTCAGCTGAACGTGCCTGACTCCACCTGCAGGTGGATCACTGACTTCCTGACGGACAGGAAGCAGCACGTGAAGCTGGGAAAACATGTCTCTGACTCCAGGACCATGCGGACGACACCACCCTCATTGGGCTCATCTCTGGTGGGGATGAGTCCACCTACAGGTGGGAGATTGACCAGCCAGAACAGGCTGGATTTTAATGATCAGAAGACCGTGGAGATGGTCGCCCAGCCGCACCCTCCCTCATCGTCCTGTGTGACTCCCTAGTCACCACTGTGGACTGCTTCCACTTCCTGGGCACCATCATCTCCCAGGACCTCAAGTGGGAACAGAATGTAAATACTGTTTCATCTCATGTCGGGCACAGACCTGGCACATTGCACATATTTGTTGTTGATTGTTGATCTTTGTAGTTGTATATTTTTATGTTGTCAGTTTATATATTTATATGTACACAATATTCTCTTCTGCACGGCACAGACCCAGAATAATGCACATGTATATGTCTGCAACGTTTTTCTTCCATTCCGTATTTATATATTTCTACATTTATTTATGTCAACTTGTCTACGTGTTGCACTTTATTACCACAGCAAATTCCTCGTATGTGTAAAACACTACTTGGTAATAAAGCTCCTTCTGATTCTGATTCTTCTGATGCTAACATGCTCACAATCACAATGGTAACATGCTTATTGTCAATGCCAAATCTGTACCGCCTGCCAGATCCGTTCTGCCCGAGCCCAAGTGGTTGTGTCAGTCAAAGGTTATCGCAAATCTGCCTATTCAAAATGATCTAATGACGGGATGTTATCTTTCAAATCAAGATAACAAAATGTTTTTTAATCACTGGACATTAAACTGTTCACTATTATGTAATAGGAATATACTTAAGATATGAAAAACCTTATTCAACGTTACATTTTTATTCATTTAATTACTAATAATGACAACAATCTAACAAAGTAGCAACACAAAAGAGTGATGACGGCCAATGTGCTAGCAGCTAGGGTTAGCCAGTCAACATGCATACAATCGCTGACCATTTCACCTGGATGGATTTGTGTGCTTTTCTTCTTCTTATTCTTTTATGTATTTACACATGAAATGAACACATTAGCCAGCCACTTTTCATTGGCTGATTCAAGTAAACTGCAAGCTTTGACAGAATATTATGGAGCAAACGTTAAAAAAAAGAAACAATAATCAGAGGCAGCAAATAAGACAAATAGCAAAGAGATATAAATTGGATATAAAATGTTAAACGTTAAATATAAAGTTCAGTGGCAACTAAATAGAGAGATTCAAGAGATTCAAGAGATTCAAACACTGTGCAGCTTCATTCTGAAATGTACCAGCTAATAAAATCTGCAGTTGAATGAGCCTTATCTTAAAATAAACAGGTGTGCGTGTGTGTGTGTTAATATTGTGTTTGCATGACATGGATGTTAGTCAGGTCCATTAACCACTTATCCTTATCTGGCAGTAAACAACATCATATGATATGGCTAAACAAGAAGATACATCCTGGAATAAAGAAGTCACAGAAGCCAATAATGTGAGTGTACCTCATAATGCTATGCATATTTTAAGTTATCAAATTTAACAATGGTGGCAACCGGAAGTTCAAAGAAACATGCTTGTAACCAAAATGTCACCAGTTTGAACATCCACACAGAATAAACTGTGTCCTAAAGAACAAAGAGCTGATATCAATAAAGGATTCAAAAAATGTGACCAACATGTGCCGTTTGAATTTACAGCCAAATGATCTTAAACTTTAACACAGCGGACTGTGTTATCGGTAAGTTTGATGTACAAAGATAACAGGACATGGTTAAAGTTTAAACATTTTTGGGTGTAGTGTGACAGAAGTTATGTTAAGAATGAAAAAAGAAAAGAGCTGAAGGGAGAGGCTCAAACACGGCTTATCATCACACCACCACACATTACATACATTGCAGAGTGACAGTCTACTGCTATGCATCACCATATGTTTGTATTGTCACTCTCCTGTGAGAACCACTTTAACAAGTGAACAAGTCAACTTTTCATGAGTTCCAAAAAACAACCGTTTTCAGCTTTTTGACAATTCATTTTCCGTATGAAAAAGTACAATATTTGTCTCTGAGATGTAGTGAAGCAGAAGAATGAAGTTGCATAAAATAGAAGTACCTTGAATAAATAGGCCTACTTAAGTACAGGACTTTAGTAAATGTACTTAGTTACATTCCACGACTGGTCTAACAAATCTTAAAAATGGAGGTAAAGGCGCACCCTTTCAGACAGCTCCTCGAAGACATTCATAGTGTTGCAATTGGTTGTTGCGTGACAGAAGATATGTGAAGAAGGAACTGAAAAAAACCAGAGCTGGTTCAAACACTGATTCACATATATAGCGGAGTGACAGGCAACAAGCTCCACATGCCTGCACAAGGTGGAACAGAATGAATTAAGTGGGTCCCCTCCCGTTTCTTCAGTGCTGTTTGTCATTGTGTGTCTGTGAAGATTCTCTGTCATCTAGGTCAATGTTAAAAATCAGTAGGTTGTAACTGCAATGTGCCCAGAGGCTACACTTACAAATGCACTGTAGCTCTGAGCCCAGCATTTATCTTTAATATTGTGCACTTCCCCTTACAAATAAATTTTATAATTTGTTTATTTAATCCAGATGCATGTAGGCCTATATCTGTGTACAAGCAGTGTGGACAAATTCAACAGATCAGACACAATGACCTGGTTCATTGTGCAGGATGGTTGGCCATGTTCTATCAGAGGACCCACATTTCTCTGCCATACTTGTGCTGGATTGGTGTGTTCCAGTCTTTTTAATGACCTAAAGTTTTTCTTTTATGCAATCTTCTCCTGCTCAGACTGTTTATTCACCCAAAAAGCTATAATGAGCTTAATAAAAGAATACCAACATTACAATCAGCTAATCGTTTAAGCAATAGCTCACGACAGGCTGTGGTATTCGCGTCGGGCCCTGCAACCCCCTCAACTGTGATATAATAAGCACAATTTGACTATATTTCATCAACAGACATTTCTTTATGAATACAAAAAGTAGTCCCACCAGGCTACATAGCGCATGACGGTTGCTAAGCAACATACATCAAAGGATAATAAAATAATAACACTTTAATATTACACCCACCAGAAAGGGCGGAATTATGTCTCTCCTTGAGCAACAGGCTTTTGAAACTTAAACTTTGTTGCAAAATCGCAGACATCTGTGTGTGTGTGTGTGTGTGTGTGTGTGTGTGTGAGACAGAGAAGGAAATGTTGAATCACTTAATAAGCAATGACCCCCCACGAAGCTCAGATTATAACTCGAACCCTGTTTGTCGCGGAGTTATACAGATCTGTGCAAAGGAATTTGACGTCATATCCGTTGTTTGCGCTCATTATATCACCACTATGAACCAATCAGATTGCTTGATTTGAGCTACCCGTTTTATAATGTTTCATTAAATTCTAAACTATGTTATATTTCTATACTAATACAAATACCAAGTATCATTACTTTATATACTATTCTGATGTACATGGTATCATAACTCTCTAGTACAACACTCTGCTACATACTAAACCACACCACAATGTCACTTACCTTGAGACAGAACTGCACTATTCATCTACACAGATTAAACACTTGGCACGGGTACTGCAAGTATACTGCTTGCCTTGTAATTAAGAATTTTATCGCTCTTGTATAGTTTCTATTTTTACATAAATTCCAATTTTCATTTTATATACTAATTTGTTTCTCACTATTTTCTATATATCTGTACTTTTTCTATCCTTATGCTGCTTGATCTTTTTGTATGTTATATAATTATATGTTATATAATTATAATGTGGAATGTTATATAATGTGTTATGCAGCATTAAGATTTACCTTCATTAAAAAAGTACAGTATGTAAGTACATAATTTTGGCAATACAGTGAACCAGATATAGAAAAAAGGACAGAGATGGACAGAGCTGACTTTAACAGAGAGGCAGAACAAAGAGAGTGAAGCAGACTGATGAAGATGTAGTGACAGAAAATTAAATGGACTCAAGCAGGTTTCATCTCCTGTCACATATTCAGCTGCTGCCCCCTGCTGGTGCTGCTGGAACTTACACAATCTGTCTAAAACTAATCATCTGATGAAATTTCCTCATGTACAGCTGTTTTAGCAGAAAATTAAAACCCTAATGCCTCAACAAAGTGGTTCATCTGCCACAAAGCTGATGATTGATAAATGCTTTATTTAATTTTTCAATAACTCGCTGGTTCCAGCCTCTCAAATGTGAAGATTTCCTGTTTTTGTCTTGTCTTACAAGACAGTAAAATGATAATCTTTGGCATTAGAATCATTCAGACATAACAAGCATTTATAGACAGTGTTCTTTGACTGTGCAAAATCCTGCCAGGCATTTTTTACTTTTTTCTGATATTTTGTAGATCTAACAATTAATCAATGAAAGAAAACAACTGTTAGTTGCGGCCCTAACTTTTGCTCTGATGTACAATAATAAACACATGCTGCGCGTGTGAAATAAAAATTTGGATAGGCAGACAATGATAATGTCATTAACTCAGTCTTTCAGAAAACAATTAACGCTCAGCAGAACAAACAATTTAATACACAACAACATGAAGACACACAAGTTCAAGTACTGGAGGGGATTAAAAAGGAATTCAGAGTCTGCAGAACTCTATTAACATTTTTCTAAATTTTCTCATGAAGTTAGCTTTTGAAATTATACTTAATAATTAATTTATCCAAAGAACAACGAAGACAGCAGTGATTAAAGGCAGATAGCTTCGTAAGGGAACTTTACACATTACATTACATACACATTGTCATTGGTCAAATTTATTCACAACAATGGTTACTTAAATTAATGGAAAAATCCCAGTTCAGTTATTCTCATTATTTCTCATTCAGGTGTTTATACTGACCTCATGCACAATGCCATGTCCTGTGAAATGAGATCAAAGTTTCTGATCTAAATGATCTGGTGAAGAGAATCAACAAAATCATTAACATGTCCGGGGTGGAATCATGAACAGAGGATGTGGTGCCTCTGAGGTTCAGCTGTTCAACTACTGACAGGGCTGAATCAACTTACCAAAACAAAAACTCACTTGGCATTAGACTGACTTGGCCACATCAATTATCATCAGTTAAACTCATCACATCAATCTCAGTCCTATCCAGAACTGTCATAGGTGTTGATTTGGAAGATTTGTTGGCCAAATAATCACTAAATGTTTTTGTTCTTCTAAAAATGAATCCAAGTCTTTCAAATTCTTATTAGGAAAAACGAACATTTTTTCGACCAATTGTTCTGCAAAACAGGGAGGTTTCCGAGATGCAGTTAACGTGCAGCCAGCGTTGAAACAATTAGTTAATTAGATGATGACAGAAATTTGTCAAAAACATTTGGATATTCATTGAAGTTATTTATCATGTAAATGTGAGGATTTGTTGCTTTTATATGGCAAATTTAAATTAATTAAATATTGTTGTTGGTCAGCACGATTGGATTACTAACTGGGCAAAGCAGACAACTGCTGTGGAGCACCAAAGACCCCGTATTTAATTTCTCTGGAGGAGTATGCACCACCAAGTCAAAAAGATGTTGGCCCTAAGGTGGGTCCTGCATCATTATCGGTCTTTGACAGGGCCTTGTTTCATTATTAACATGCTGCATAATCCTAATTAAATTAGTCTATTTCAAAAGGGCCCACAGGGTTCAAACTGTGCTCCAGTGTTTCATTCTGATTCAGTAAAGATGTGTCAAATTAGACAATAAACCTGATGACTCATATCATAAGTGACAATTTAGAGGGGGAAATCAAGTTACAATTATGGACAAGAAATGACAAATACTGCTGAGCACTAGCAGTTGAATGCCGGACAGCTGGAGTTATGACCAATGTTAATGTGTTATCTTAAGATCACAGAATTAAAAACATCTTGAAGCAATCAGTAGTGTGGTCAACAGCAGCAGTAGATAAGAAGCCCAAATCAACACCTGTAACCAGTTTGTGAAAGTTACTTCCAAACAAGTACACCATCTATTCTGACATAAATAAGTAAGATTATTGCTCCCAGTGACTGATGGTGTTACAGTGCTTGTGAACACATTCACACTGGAGCTACCATGTTTAACCAGTTCCTCTGAGCAGCAGGTAGACAGCAGAGACGGTGATGGCGGTGGCGGTGTAGGTAAACACAGCGTTATAAACAGTGTTGGTCCTGATTTGTTCTCCCAGCGTCCTCTGAGTCTCCTCCAGACGCCTCACTGCCACCTCAGACCCCCACTGATCCCCTTTCTCTGGTCTCTCTGGTATTGCTACCTGCAGCTGAGCAGACTGTGTTTCAGCCTGTGGTCTGGTCTCCAGCAGCCTCCTCATCACTGACAATTCGTCCTCAACTCTACCGAGTCCCTGATCCAGTTGCTCCAGTTGTGGCGGGAGGGACTGCAGGAGGGATTCGGCCCTTTGGCTGCCAATGTGGAGGTCTTTTAAGGCTGAAAGAGGCACCGTGGGTGAGTCTGAGGCCGGACCTCCTTTGACCTGAAGGACGCCGACTCTCTGTGTGAAAACCTCATTCAGAGCGACCCTGAGGTTGTCGATGAGCGATCGGAGCTCGTCCTGCTGGGAGCGGTGGTTTCCAGCCTGGACTCTGAGGGCTTCCTGCAGGCTCTCTGGACCTTTCTGGGCCTCCAGCAGCAGATTCTTCAGCTCCTACAGACGAGAGAGGTGAAGATGTATCAGCTAAAACAAAGATCACTGCACACTGGTGTCCTGGTGATGTGCTGATATATACATATAATATACAGCACAAGAAACAATATCATAGGGAAAATGCTAACAAGCTCACAATGATAATGCTAACATGCTGATGTATAGCAGGAATGTTATTTACCATGTTCACTATTTTAGTTTAGTGTTAGCATGCTAACATTTGCTAAAAGGCACTAAATAGTAGTACACTAAGTAGAGCTGAGGCTGATGGGGATGTCATTAGTTTTTCAGGTGTTTAATCATAAACTGAAGTATTGGACAACTTAAGATTTGGACACGATGATGGCACTATCGACTGACCGACCTTGCCATCCCTAGTGCCATGCTAGCAAAAGAATTCATTTTAAATTATTAAAATAATAATAATTCCTGTCAAAATGTCAATAAATCATAACAATTTCTAGTCCCAACCTGCATCAAACAAGAAATGTTTTTTCAGTATTGTAGTTCAGGATGTTACAATTAGTGCTGAAACAAAAAGTAAATGAATCCACGTGCTATCATCATCTCTCACCTGCAGGCGAACGCGGTTGATGTATGTCGATCCCATGACCCCGATCAGAGCTCCGAGCACCGAGCCGATGACGGACCAGTTCTTGGTGCGTTCTGCTCTTGTCCTCTCCTTCTCGTGGCTCTCCCGGACTCCTGCTGAGAACAAAGCGAACTTCTCCCTCTCCGAGCCCTCTGCGTTCTCGTAAGCTGTCCGGAGACGACGCTCCTCCTGCGATCAGGACAGAACGTGAGGGTGGTTCATTATGAGTTAACTACAATCAGCTGATCTGTTATCCCTTAAACAGGTACATTAGCCCAGGCCAACCTCCACACATTCACAATAGACCATGTTTACCTTTTGTCTTCAGTGTCTTCAGTTACACCTCCATAATTAAGGCTACAGGAATAAATATTCAGATAGAGTTTGTTTTGTCCAGAGCTCTGACTGGACTTCTGTTGATCATCTTTATCTATTATGTTATTTCCATTCATACACAAGTTTTTTGTTTTTTTACAACACTAACCATGTACCTTACTCGTAAACATATCTGTAATTTTGCAGCATTTAGCATCACTTTCCTGCAGGGCTTTTCTCCTTTTAATGCGCTCCTTCTCAATGCCACCTTTTGTCTTTCTCTCTTCTCCAGCACTGATCAATTACGTGAAATGACAGGCAGAGATCATACCATTAGGTTAAAAGCAGGCACGGAGCTGACAGTTTTCATTTCTTTGCGACTGTAGCTGACCCGTGCCACTGTGGCTAACTTTAGACATTATTCCACAGGATAAATGTTCTTAACCTTCTTCTGACTTCAAACTATCTGGATCTCCAACACTGTAAAACCTAAAACAACAGTTTCTGTACATGCGTTTCGCTCCACCTGTTTTATGCACATTTCCAATTGCCTAACCTGCAGCAGTTTGTGCTCCAGCGTGGCCAGCTCCAGGTAATGAGCCTCCTCCCTGGAGACTCTGTCCAGTCGGTCCCTGACCTCCTTCAGCCTGACCTGCAGGGCCTCCAGGCTAACATGAGCCTCGCGCACCATCCCTCTGGCCACCATGAACGCTGACTCAGCCTGGAAGAAACACACGTCTGAGGCTCAGGATCTTTCTCAGTACCATTTGTCATCATTTGGCTTATGAAATTATTTAATGATAAATTACAGATGATATTAATGTGTTTACTGTTAATTTAATTATTTACAAAGACAGTTGCAAACTGGCTCTTTCTGAACAACTGCTTTGCTTTTACCGTAAAAAAACAAACAAACAACCTGGCGTCTTTTTTCATCCAAAACATGGAAGGTGCTTCTTACTGTCTGCTGACCTCAGTGACCTTGGCTTGGGCCACTCGGACCTCGTTGAGTCCGACAAACTCCTCGTATTTTTCCCACCAGTAGTTGACTGAGGCGGAGGCTGTCTGAGTCGCCCTCTGACCCCACTGCTGCCCCAACTCACCTGCATGCTGGAAAAGGGAGAGGAAGAAAAAAAGAGGGTAGTGTTTTTATCTGGTTTTGTGTTCTCACGTACTATCAGATGATACTGTTGTCTTTATTACAAAATAAACGCATAATAAACCAGTAGTAGTGTCAACATGTTGCCAATGATATCTATGATCAGAAAAGATGGTCTAAACAATCAGAAGAGGGATTTACTGTACCTTTAAGGCAGCCAGGGCACGCTCTTTAACCACCACGGCTCCACCCTTCCCATCAGGAGGGGAGGGGTTAGTGGGTGGCGGGGAGCCGGGTTGATGGAGAACACTGTAGGTCCGAACCAGAGTGACTCTGCCAGGCAGGGAGAGGCGAGACAGACAGCATGAGCCATGAGCCCGGAGACAGATCTGAGCTCCTCTGTACCTGACATAGTAAAGATACTGTTAGTCATCAGCTTCAGTGCTGTGTGTTTATGTAGCTTAGAAGCTCAGGTCTCCCTCTACATTGTGCAGATGTACCTCATTGAGAAGAGCAGCAGTCCGAGGTGCAGCTTGAAAACTGTCAGAGCTTCACTCCAACTGCAGCTACAGAACAAACACTAGAACAAGCACCTGTGAGAACAGCAAAATATTTTATTAAGTGATTAACAAACAATTAGTTGTGCACGTAGCAGACGTTTAAGGCATCTCATTTAGAGAGTCGGCTAGGAGTGCTGTTGTGTCAAAGGACTGACTATTTAACTGGGTCAAGCTTTTCCTGAAATATTTCTCAATATCTCAGCAATCCAACTGGTTTAAATTTGAAGGTTCGTAAGTTCCAACTTCTTCTACATTGATAATACTGTAAATGTAGACATTTAGGCTCTCATGGTACACAATGACACAGTTTAATCAAGTTCAAATTAAAAATCTTCTAATAAACTAGCAACAAAGTATGATACTGATACGTCCGTGACAAGCAATTATCAACTGAGAATATCCACACAAGACAATTACAGGTTGAGCTCTGACTTACACTACCAAATAAAATAATGACATTAGTAATACAAATGTGAGAGCTTGCATATATATGTATCGTGCAAGTCACAATAAGCAGTAATGTTTGTAATTTAATTCATGGTAATGGTTGTTAACAAAGCGCTTCCTGAAAACATTTTGCAGAGAGATGATTTACTTTTAATGTTTAATATGATAGTAAAGTGTGTCAAATGTAAAATTATATCTAGAATAATTAGAAAATTTACAACCTGGGGAAGGAACACGACTAATATCAACCACTCTGTAACTTCCATAAGTTCCAGCAGGATAAATGATTTCCCAATACACACAAACTGACCTCATTATAAGCAAATTAACATAAGACAATTGTTATTCTGATAGATACAGTTTACAAGGCCTAAGGTCATTAGTATAACTTAGATAACACTTTTTCAACAAGGTTACCTGATCGTTCTTGTCATTTCCCTGCTGCATTCCCAATTAGCTAGCTTTTAGCTCCACGTTGCTAACTGTTACCCAATAAACTGACTTCTTAGAAGTGTCAAAAATCGGTGACATCATGCGATAGTTTCACAAGTATATATAACAAGACATGGAAATAAATATACCTATTTTCTTCAATGTTGTCAAAGCGTACATGTCACAAGGATGCAGTTTTTTAGCTAACCAGTTAGCATCTTGATGTATGAAACAGCTAACAGCCGGGTGAGTTTTCGATCAGGCACATGACGGAACTCTATTTCCGGTTCAGAGTTCGCTCACTGGGGTCCTTCAGAGCGGATTAGAAAGAGAACTCTTCGCAACAAAAATACATTTATTTATTTCCGTCAGTCTATTGTGAGGACTTTTTAAAAACATGTCTGGCAGAGAAGGTGAGACGTCGTTTCATCTCATGGTCGTCTGAAAAGTCTGGTCATCAAGAGAGATAATGTTTGACAACGTAGCAAAACTCAGCGTAGCGTGTTGGTCTCACTGCGTGGGTTTGCTAAGCTAACGGCTGCTAAAGAGAGCGCGAGCCCGATAACGTCCTCTTCTTTCACCGAACTACATTAAAAATATCCCACATTAATGTTTTTGTTGTCAGGAAATATAAACATAAGAAAGACTGTGTATCTACACTATGTAGTGATCATGTAGGACATTCGGCGGTTGATTCGGCTAATAAATTTTTTTCCAAGCAGCGAGTAATTTAATCGAAGTCTGAATAACACTGCATTATATTATATTCGGTTTCCGATTGTGTTATCAACAGGCAAACTACTGTTAATTATAAAATGTGAAACTGTCGCGGCACCGTAGGTTTTCTGGTGTGAGTTACTGGATAAATCATAAATTGAAAAGCAGCTCAGGCCATATGTAACGTTAATATATAAAGATTTATCAAAGGAGTACTGCGTGGCTTCTGGCCATATGAGAGCAAACCTGTCTGTTCGCATAACGATATCAGTATTTCCATTTGAGTTCTTTTAGCAGCTTGTGAACTAATCTTTTTTAAATTTGTTGTCCTCAGGAGGAAAAAAGAAGCCACTGAAGGCGCCCAAGAAACAGTCCAAGGACATGGATGAAGTAAGTAACGTTATGTCCCTCTGGCCTCTCTGGACAGATTATTTTCTGTACGATTATTTTCATTTTCAGTTAATTTAACTTTTTTTTTTATACAACATGTAACTTTACGTTACATTTACGCAATTTTTTGTATTATTTGCACACTATGTATAGTTTGTGAATATCATTCAACACTATACTGCTCTTTTCACTTCATTATGTATAGTATATTAACTGTACATTTCTATTATCTGTATACTTTTCTTTTACTATGTATATTTTGACTGTTATGCACCACAATATTAAGACAAACGTCCTATGTGGAAACCTAAAAAACGTCAGAAAATAGTTGACATTGTCAAATGTCAGCTGAATGAATTCAATAAAAAAAAAAAAAGGAGAAATTGCACTGAAGCAACATTTATTTTTGTGTGCTGTTTTGGCTCTGTAAACCCATTATGATCATTTGTACATTCATTTTTAGGACTAAAGTGACTAATTTAAAAAGTAGTTAATTAATTATAGTTAATAAAGAAAATGTTAGTTGCTGCCAAAACATAAGACTGTAGCGACATGGACATGGAGCGAGTTCAGTCAAAGGTTCGTAAACCGCCTGTTTGTCTGCAGGATGATATGGCCTTCAAGCAGAAGCAAAAGGAAGAACAGAAGGCCTTGGAGGCTTTGAAGGCCAAAGCTTCTGGAAAAGGACCTCTAGGTAAGACCCGAAACCTACAGTTAATATGACGTGTATGTGAACCTTTTTTAAAGAAAGGTTTTAATACAATACTCACATCCACAATAATAGTTTTGCTGGGTTTAAGCTTATGCTTGATGCAATGGGTTAATTGTAGTGCTGCTGTAGATGCACATGGTGGAGATTTTGATATGTAGTTCAGCATTTGATTTCACCCTTAGCAACACAGCACTAAATAGGTGTATCATACATGGCCAGGTTTTATAAGATGTTCCTTTGAGCATTTTCGCCTTTTTACAGGTGCATCTCAAAAATATTGAATAAAAGTTAATTTACTTCCATAATTTACTTCAAAAAGTTAAACTATAAGATATTTTTGATTCATTTACACATAAAGTGAAAATTATCTAGCCTTTTTTCTTTGTTTTAAATCTAGATGATTACAGCTTACAGATCATGAAAATCAAAGTTTTAGTATCTCAGTGTATTAGAATTTTAGAATAAAGAATTTGTAATACAGAAATGTCGACCAGAGAAGAGCTCTAATCAGCTAATTAACTCAAAACACTTGCAAAGGTTTCCTGATTACATCGTACTTTTATCCCATTTCCTGCAAATTTGTACCACTTTCCGGGTTCTGCTCATACTTACAGAACTGGAGTTACATATTTCTGTATACAGACTGTATGTTTTACAGTTTAAGCATATATTGTCATCACAAAGAGTGTGCCATCATGTGGTGGATAAATACAATTTAAGAACTCAATAAAAAAATATTAAAAATGTAATCAATATCAATGAATTTGATGTATCAAACCAAATATACATATAGAAATGTTCAAATGTTGGCCTCTGTGCAATATATTGGTTATTAGTTATATAATTAGTACGTTTGAATTGTCCCCTATTAATTAGGTTATTACATGATTACTGATAATTTCTTCCCACAGATCTTCTACAGCCTCCATATGCTGCTTGACTTAGCTTTTTATTTTTTCTAACGGAATATCTGACTCCGCTCTCACAGCCACAAAGTCTTTAATGTGCTTGCATCTTGCATCTTCGACAAGGTTGCACTTCTGAGCTGTAGACAGCGCTCTGTCGTCGATACGAAGGCGTGTGTGTGTGTGTGCACCCGCCCTCAGTGAAACAGCTACACAGAGAGGAGAGAAGAGAAGCAGTATGCTCATAAATTAAACCAAAACATAGCAGTGTTTTTCTTTTTGTTTAGCTTAAATGCTTTTAAAAAGACACTTATAACAATAGGGAAATGCAATTTTTTATAAATTTCAACCACATTTTTGCAGATACCGCAACATTCTGCATTTAACAGCTGATTCCATTTTTATTATCAAATCCTGTTTACCACATCACGGAAATCATAGGGTCCTACCATTACTAAATAGATATAATAATACACTATTATAATAATCTTTATTTCTAGAGCACACTGCTGATGTGCACTTCCCATTTTTCTGTTCTGTCGTTCACTGGGATAGAAAGCAGCAATCGGCAGAACCGATGATTTTCCAGTGTAATAACTTTAAAAGGTGGATGACAAATCCCACAGTTCTTGTTCAGTGCCAAAATGGAAACAAAATAGAAAGTTTGTCTGACGCTAATACGAGGCTCCAGCAGAGATAGACGCACCAAGTACTCTAATTTGTGTTCTAAATCAGTCCGGTAGGTACCGGTCATATAGGAACCGGTTCCATATTTGCACCGGCTTTCGGTACCCAACCCTAACAAACACGCTGTTACAAGCTCTTTAAAATGTTTCAATGGATTGATTGGTCGGATTAGAGGTTTTCTTGCACACCCAAATTCCACTTGTGTTTTTTTTTTTCTTCCTCCAGGCAGCAGTGGCATCAAGAAATCAGGCAAGAAGTAAAGTCTGAATCTGATGACGGTGTTTCTTTGCTCCCTGGCTTCACTCCTGCGGCTGCGATGTCTGTATGCTCGCTGAGTGAGAGTTTTGCTCTGTTAAACGTGGACTCATGAAACTAAAAACCTGCCCTGGTGTTGAACTCCTCCATCAGTGAAAATGTAGAGTAAATGCATTTAATACTTAGAGGATTTCAAGGACAGGAACATCTGTTGCCAGTCTGGCCAGCTTCCCATATCATAACTCCTAATAACGTGTAATTAGAGGTTTCACACTGATATTTTTTGTTCGGAAAAGTTCACATACGCACGACCAAAATGTAAACACTCAGTTTCAAAATGAAGGTCTGCACATGCGATCCTGATCTCCGCCGTATTTTGTGTTGTCTATGTGAAATTTTTAACCATCAGAAACACAAGTCACAATGTTGTTTTGTTCTTCAGATTTTTGTTGTATTGTAAAGAGGGAGATACTAATAAAGTTTTTGTAATTACTGCTTGTTGTTTGATTATTTGGTTTTTTGGAGTCTCAACCATCAAACTGTTTAACAATAGTGCCTTTTATACCCCCTTTATTTACAGTTTCAGGCCTCATTAAATCAGTAATTTGTCAAAGCAAATTTTAACAACCATCTTTTATCTACACCTCAAATGGCCTCGGAGTAATATTTGTAAGTACTCTTTATTACAGCTGTTATGTGATTGCTGATTTGTAATTCAGTAGAGTTCAGTTATTCTGTGATTAACTTATTTTAGCTGACCATGCTAACCACTATACTAGCTGTCTGCAGCTAATGTGTTGCTAGAACATTTTAAGGGTTGAGTTATTGTTTGGCTACTGACACTTGTGTTTTAGTCAATTTGTTAGGTACACCTTGCTAGTACCGGGTTAGACCCCCTTTTGCCTTCAGAACTGTCTTAATTCTTCGTTGCATACTTTCAGACTTTGGTTCATATTGATATGATAGCATCACGCAGTTGCTGCAGATTTGTCGGCTGCACATCCATGATACGAATCTCCCGTTCCACCACATCTCAAAGGTGCTCTATTGGATTGAGATCTGGTGACTGTGGAGGCCATCGGAATACAGTGAATCTATTGTCATGTTCGAGAAACCAGTTTGAGATGATTTGAGCTTTGTGACATGGTGCTTTATCCTGCTGGAAGTAGCCATCAGAAGATGGGTACACTGCGGTCATAAAGGGATGGACATGGTCAACAACAATACTCAGGTAGGCTGTCGCGTTTAAACAATGTCCAATTGGTCCTAAGGGGCCCAAAGTGGACCAAGAATTGAATTGACATGAATTCAAGCGTGGTACCGTGAAAGGTTGCCACCTGTGCAATAAGTCCATTTGTGAAATTTCCTCACTACTAAATACTCCACAGTCAACTGTTAGTGGTATTATAACAAAGTGGAAGCAATAGGAACAACAGAAACTCAGCCATGAAGTGGTAGGCCACATAAAATTACAGAGCGGGGTCAGAGCGTGCTGAGGCGCACAGTGCACCGAAGTCATCAACTTTCTGCAGAGTCATTAGCTACAGGCCTCTAAACGTTGTGTGGCCTTCAGATTAGCTCAATAACAGTGCATAGAGTGCTTTATGGATTGGGTTTCCATGGCCGAGCAGCTGCATCCAAGCCTTACATCACCAAGTGCAATGCAAAGCGTCGGATGCAGTGGTGTAAAGCACGCCACCACTGGACACTAGAGCAGTGGAGATGTGTTCTCTGGAGTGACAATCCAATGGACGAATCTAGGTTTGGCAATTGCCAGGAGAACGGTACTTGCCTGACTGCATTTTGTCAAGTGTAAAGTTTGGTGGAGGGGGGATTATGGTGTGGGGTTGTTTTTCAGGGGTTGGGCTCGGCCCCTGAGTTCCAGTGAAAGGAACTGTTAATGCTGAAGAAGACTTGAAATTAGCAATTGAGGCAATGAGCTCAGCAGGTAATACATCAAGTGAGAAGTAGGCTCATTTTGTCAGATTTCTGAACAATCTGACCTTTTTTTAACCATTAGAGAAAGAATGCAGGTTTAAGGCACTTCTACATTAGCTTCACTTTTCAGACCCAGAGGTTCTCACTTGTTTTTAAAGACAAAATAACCCAACCATCATTTAACAAAAAAGTAAAATTCATTCTACATTTATTAATAACTGACACCCTTTGTTTTTAACTGGAAACAGTCTCACTCAATGACAGTTCTCACTCTGAACTCAGGAAGATGGCAGTGGTTGTTTTATACAGTCTATGGTGGAAACGTATGTCAAAGTTGGAGAGAGGAGTTTGTTGTGCTCATAAAGGAAATCCAAGCAAGACTTTATTTCCTAACGTTACTCCACGCACCTCAACACTCGGCACAGATGTCATGAATGGGGAAATTAGTTATATAGACCAAAACAGATTCTTGTACCAGGCTGCCGACATGTTTATTTCTGCTGTAAAGTTGTTCATTTTAACATGGAGGACAATGGAGATTGACTCGCTTTTGGAGTCAGCCTCATGCTGGCTACAATTTGGAGTCAGCCTCATGCTGGCTACAATTTTTGGCACGTCCGCATTGGCTTCATTTTTCTGCCCCGGATGTTGCTGCTTGTGTCTTACTGGACTTCAGCTCCACCTCCACAGGATAATGGTCGCTCACTTTCAGAGCCTGTAAAATACACAGTTTTTAAATTTGAGCGATTATATAATCCTTGGTCAATACCAAGTTGTGTTGGACAGAATCAGACTAGGAGCATAATTAGGAACATAATTAGATATTTCCCTCTTCTAAATTCTATATATACTACTGCACCACGAAACACACATACTTCTCCATGTGTGCAGAGTAACATTAACATTTAGTTAGCAAGTAATACCTCTAAAACTGATTTAGGAAGTATTGCAAGTTATGTAGTTCAGATAGATACTTAGAAAGGATGAACACTAAAATTTGTACATCTGGCAATATTCCATATTTCTCCCCTTTGAAAACAGATCCAAAACCAACATTGAATGTATCCGATTAACATGTTTAATCTGTGTAACCAAAGCCTGATTTCTTATTCCTCTGTGCCATAGAGTTGCATTGTTCATCCAAACTATGCCGCAAATGGTTAGAACACCTAATGTGTATTGATACGCCGCTGAAAATGGTCCCTAACAAATACACTATTTCCTCATGTTTGAGTGACATTTGTTAAAACTACAGTGACCAGTGGTACCAATGGGTTTGGACCTGAGAGCTTCAGAAGGATTAGGGGAGTCAAAGTATTGATAGTTCGGATTCAGGTGGTGTCGGTTTTTGTCTTTTTATGGGATTTGTTTACAATAACAAAAATATATAGATCATCATCAGCCTTATCGTGTAATATATAAAATCCAACTTGCAGATTGAAAGTTACTGAACATTTTCATGCTGACGATTTTGATTAAATACATGTACACTGTGTAAAGTATAATGTGTGTACACCAACATTTCCACTCACACATTAGTTGTCATGTCATCTGCTGAGTACTATATCATGTTAGAACCTCCTTGAATTTGATGATTTTATAACCTGTTCTGTAATGCCAGTTCAGACTTTAAGACTGACAAAGGCTTTAAGAACCACACAATAATTAAATAATTGTTCAAATGGAAGTGTGACAACAACAACAGACCTGCTCGTCAGTGAGTCCAAATGCCTTCTGGAAGTTGAAGGGTTTGGCAGAGTTTGGTACTACAGCCTGGAGCATGTCATCTTCGTAAACCACTATCCTGAACAGACACAAGCAGTATATATTTTACTCCTATTAGCAAAGTCGGCTGCTTGAGATGTTTACACTGCACTATAAGATACATTCATTGTACTCTCCTTTAAAGGGAAACTTGTCTAGCAGCAGCCATTACATAAACAACAAAAACATTTAAATGGATATACAAAAATACAAAACTAAGAAATTTATGGAACCTTCAAAATAACAATTAAAGTAAACAAACCAAAGGGAAAAAAAACCCATATAACACAGATTTAGAAACACAAAAACAAGCGTTAGAAAAGTATAAATGAATTGTCACTCTTTCTCTCAGGCAACTTGAATACATAAACATATATAATATTTTAACTTAAAAGTGTTATTAAATGATTTGATAAATCGTAATAATAGCTCATTTAAACTTCTCTTAATAAGAGGACGTTCCATTTATTCTATTTTCCAGCACTGGTGTGTGTGTGTGTGTGTGTGTTACCTGTCGTAAGTGTTGTCGTTTTGGTTGCTTGCTGTGGTGTCGATGTCATCTCCAATCAGCCAGTGGAAGTTCTTGTCACTACGGATACGAATGCCCTTCATTTTCTTCTTGGGTACGTACGAGCTGTCCGCATTGAAGTCGCCCAGGATCATCATGTTCTAAAGCACAGAGGTGGCTGAAGGCTCAGAGAGATGCAACATGTGTCAACAGGCTCCAAAACGTGTGCCCCTAATGATCTACATGTCTGGTTCTGGGTAAGACAGCAAACACTTTAATTTGTTATAATGTTGAATTATCCTTTTGATGACTTGCTGTTCTAATTAACATTATTAAACATGAGGTGATGTTTGTGGTTTTTAAGTGAAATGTCTCAACAGCTATTGGATGGTGTCATGATTTGGGGGTTTCCTTGTGTTCCTGTTCAGCCTTGTTATATAGTTGCATGTTTAGTCATTACCCGTTCTGTCTCATTCGTTCTTTTTCCATGTGAGTTCTTAGTCCATGTCTTAGTGTGTAGTCCTGGTTCAGTTCAGTTTGCCATTCAGATTTTACATGCATTCTGTTTTCTGTTTTATTGATTCTGGTCCATTGTCGTTCGTTCTGGTTTTAGTCCGTCTGTCTTGTCGTTGTCCCCATCTGTTTCTGTATCATAGTTTGTTTGGTCGCCTGTCTGTGTCAAGTTATGTTTTTGTCTTTGAGTGCCTTGTCTATTCTGTGTTTCAGTGTCGTGCTCTGTTTCCTGTTTTGATTTTGTTTTAGGGAACACTGTATTTGATTGTCGTTTGATTGTATTTGGCTGTACTGATGTTATGTCCTTACATCAGTCTTCCACTTCTTCTTGACGTCCATGAAGACATCGTAGAGCTCATCCAGCTCCTTCACAGAGTCCTCTGGTTTGGTGTGAACAGGGATCATCACTAAGTCCTCCAGCACTGCGGTGGGCACACACACACACACACACACACACACACACACACACACTTAACATTCAGACAGCTGCACACTGCAGTCATTCCCTCCTGTAAATCTTTCTGTTATGCTGAGTCCTAACCTTAACCCACAGAGGAGAGAACAGAGAAGTGCTGTTGTATTTTCCTAATTTTAATATCTTTTTGAAGGTGTTTGCTCCTCTCAAAGTGTTCTTTTGGGTACAAGATGTCTCATACCTGTATTGAAGCATTTGAATCGCAGGATGTAGGGGTCTCTAGCAAAAACGTCTGTTCCCACAGTCTTTTGGTCATCAAACTGATAGGTGTCCACCAATTTAACCATGTCTTCCCTACACACACACACACACACAAATCAATACATTTTATCTTGATTATGATTCTTCAGAATGATGAAGGACATGTTTCTGTCCCTGCGATCAGAGATATCTGTAGACATGAGGGTCCTGAATTATGGAGCAGCCGCCTCTGTCAAATTTCGTCCCACCTCCAGCTCTAAAACGCTTGATCGATGTCTTCAAAACAATATGTTTTATGTTGAATTAAATATCGTTTTCACTTTGTTTACTTCGTTAACTGTAAATTAAAACATTCGCTTTTGTATTGTATTTGATTAATTAAGCTTCTTTTCAAATAAAATATGCTATAACGTTATATACTGTCATTATTACAACTCTTAAATATGTTGCTTGTAAAACGTGTTTGCTTGAGTCAGATGAAGGCACGGTGCACGTGATCAGGATGGTCCCTAATTCCCCCTGGAAACACTAGCGGCAGTTAATTGTACTATGACAAATTAACGATTTTACTTTAAAGATGTCTTTCACACAAAATGAAACCTCACCGAAGCCTCTTACAAACAAAATATTAAAGAGACAAAACTTTTCCAGTAATGTGTATTGTTAATAAACTCATTTCTTGTGTCTTAATGACAAATCTTTATCCAGATGTTGTGATTCAACAACAGTTAGACATTTTTGCAAAAATATGGCTGAATCTATCACTTTTGTTTTGTAATCCTTTGGAAATCTTAAAAAGTCCCACTAAAAATTAAAAGTTTAGGAATACGCAGCTGCTGTTCCTCTTAACGGACAAAGTTACCAACTTTTTGCATCTTCTTTTTAGTCTGCAAGAGGTGATAGAAACATTTGAAGTTTGCCTTGAACAATAAATCAAGCAAAATCAGCACGTATGAAGAACAGGAATCTCCACACTGATACCTTGTACAGACAAACTGCTGCACATGCAGGCTCTAAACTCCTTTTATAACTCTTCTCAGTCATCTTTGTGGGGAACTGGTGAGAATGTGTTGCAGGTGAACACTCACCTGTACAGAAACATGAACTGCTCCTGGTACTTTTCCGTTCGGCCCAGACGTTTGCTGATTGTCAGAGTGTAGGGCCTCTTGTTGGATCTGGACAGACGATAGACATCTTTTTTAAGCACTGTGTGTTTATTGGCTCTGCTATTCCCATGTCACATAATATGTTAACACCACGCACCACATTTATGCAGGAGTGATTATTCCTAGTGATTTTGGTTATCCTGTAACTTTTCCTCTGGCGCCACAGTGAGGTGACTTTTGTGGTTTCTGAGTAAAGTGTCTTTACAACTATTGGATGGGTTACCATCGTGACATCAGTATTTTCTAAATGTTGTCAATGTACAGCCTCACAGAGCCACATTCCTCTGTTGTCTTGAGACCCTTAGTCTTCTTTTTATTAATTTGGTTTAAGTTACAATACATTTTGAAAGGCAGTGGAACCAACTTTCTGCTCTTAATGATAATAATAAAGACAAAAACAAAGCCTGCACTCACTTGTTGACGGCGTCCAGCAAGATTTTTACAGCCTCTCCTTTGATGTCCACCACCTCCAGGATCAGAATGATGTCATATCGAGACACGACCTGGGGGGGCAGAGAGCGAGAAGTGACCTTACGCGGCTCACCAATTTTTTTGTTTTTCCGTTTATATTTTTGTCTTTTAAACTTTATACTGATGATATAATTTGAAATATTACTCAATAATAAAGTATTAAGAAACTAAATGAGACTTTGTATGTTAGAAAATAAGAACTATTGTATTAGCACATGTTTTGAACGGCCACTCAGACAACTTCTTTGAGCAAATCATAGTGTTAAACATATAATACCAAACACAATACCAACATGTTGACCAGTCACCATGACTATTATAACAGTAAGATGACCTGCTGATCTCTGTGGTGTGTGGGAGAAGAACTTGATGTTTATCATCGTCTCTCTCATTTTCTTCCATCTCTGTCACGCTGTACATTATATTATAAACCAGATAATTTGTGGAAGGTGATCACAACCAGCAGATATCGATATCGACACTTTTCCACTTCTGGCAAGACAAAATGATGGAGTCCAAGTTCCTTGTTACTGAACTGCATAAGGTCAATAAAATCTGAGTTATGGAGGATCAAATCTGACTTTTGAACAATTAAAAACAGGTCATGGCACACTGATGTGTTCATTTCCCAGTGTCTAATGCATTTTATTTATTCATTATTTTGTTAACATATTTGACCATTTTAGTCATTCATTTTTCTAAACCGTAACTGATTGACTGACAGAAAGTTAATTAGCAACAATTTTGATGATCAAGTAATCCCTAATAAATAAAATTAACAATGTTGTTACCTTAGTCAGTACACTGAGGACATCTGGGTCTGAGACTTTGTTTTTCCCAAACTTCTGGACGTTAAAAGATGCTATTTTCATGGTCCCTGCAGAGAAAGAAAAGCAAGACAGACAGAAAGAGAACAGGGGAAGTGTCTGTTTAATGGATCTCTTTGTGTCTGAACGTGCACAGGTATGTGTGGTATTACTGTGTCTACTTCAGATAACCAAGTGTGTGTTTGTGTGTGTGTGTACAGCTATGGGTTAGCAGCAGCTGCTCTGGTTTGAAACATTTAAAACATTTGATATCATGTCTTTAAATAAGCTATATTTGGTGTTTTTGATTTAGTTATGGTTTTGGTGTTTTCCTTTTGAGGAGGCCTAGATTATTTTTAATTAAGCTTTAGTTTATGTTTTGGTCAGGATTTGTTAATGTTGATTTAAGAAAATAAAACCCTATTTGAGTCCTCATTGTGAAAAGTCAATTTTAACAGCAATAAAGTTACTGTTGAATTATTAGTCTAATAAATTAGCTGCTTTCTAAATTCTCCCTAAACAAAATCCTATTGACATCAATGCTTCAACACAAAACAACTGAGGAAAATGTTCAGGACTTGTTCTAACAGGTTCATTAACCTTGTCTTTAGACCCCCCTCCCAAATCCTCCCATCAGAACTCACCATCTACCTGCAGGCGTCTGCTTTATCTCAACACAGGATGTACTAACACTATACTGTAAATTTAGCTTTCAGCGCCAATCTGTCAGTTTACCATTTAGACTCCGACCCCGTCATTTACCTTTCATGTCTAAAGTAAAGGTTTCTGTTGAGAAAAAGCAAACAGATGTGCAGATATAACTAACAACCAGTCTGTAAATAAACGGGACTGTAAATGCATTGTCTTAAAGTCAGTGTATGTAAGCAACTTTTAATTGAGTATTTTACACTGTGGTATTGTTACTTTTAGTGTGTGTATAGTCCACCACCAGTGATAATCCACACAATGTCCAACTGAAAGACGGGTGTTTATTCATATTTTAGTTAAAAAGATTGTTTTGTAAATACTGAGAAATGAGATTATTAATTATTCATTAATTAAACAAAGTTGAAAACAGATTAAGAGACTGCAGCAAAATCGTTAAAAGAAAAAAATATCAATATTGTGAAATACATTTAACTTCAGTGTCCTGAAACCTATAATAAAATGCTTATTGATGGTAATTTCATATCCACCACATCTCTTACTTTGATACATACGCTGACAGACTGGTCTCACCTGTTTATTAATAAATAAACATTTGTCTTGTCATTTAAAACGTTTTTTTAAAATTCTGCCAAATGAATGACTATTCTCATAATTGAATTACTTTTTCTTATAAAACAACAACTTTATTCTTATAATATCCTGATATATTGTATAATTACATAAAATTATGTAATATTATAGTTTGTATTCTCAAAATTAAAACATATTATCATAATTACTTTTTCATTAAAATTCTAAAATAAAAAAAAATAAAAAAGGAAGAGTAAATTCCCTTCTTTTTTGGTTTACAACATCACCAACAAGACAGTAGCCTGAGGAAATAAAGAACGTTGCTGCAGTTTAGTGTCTCACCACAGGAATGTTATTGACTCGCTGCTCAGTCAAGGAGGACAAACCTCTTTTCAGCTCTGAGGTAGATCGCACACCGCCGGCAGTAAAGTATCTGTTATTTTCTTATATGTATGCATTTATTTCTCTGCTACAAACTGTATGTACAACATAAAATATTATTTTAAATAGCTTTTGTTAATGATTTGATCTATACCTATTTGGTATAAAGCAGTCTGCAATTTACAGTAAACAACGTCTTTGTGTGAATCAATATACCAACAGAATTCTTCTGGTTCCTAATATTGAATTAAAATGTTGTAAATACTGGAAATAAAATGTTGTAAATACTGGAGTTATTGCAAAATGTTAAAAACATATAAAACATATGGCTTCACAAAATGACGACAAATTTTCTTCGAACTTTCTAACCCAAAGCTTAAGTTCTTGTACCCCAACGCTGATGAGTACACCTGTTGTCATGTAATCCATATATTTTATATTTTATATTTTCTTCAATAATCCAAAGCTACTTTCGTTACTTTACTTTCCCCCCAGTTTTAGCAGCATATTAAAGGCATTTTCCCAAACTTCAGTTTTGTTTCATAGTGGAGTACCACTTTTTTTTTCTTCTTTCCACTAAAATACCCAATTGTTCGCTTGTTCCTCATAGTCTACTCTTCTTCCACTGTAACTACATCTGAGTAACAGTATAAATATAAATATTACAAATATTTTATTGGTAGTTATTTCATACAATGAAGTTACAATGTTTTTATTATGGCTACACCTCATCATTGGATATGCATGTTTTTAGATCTACTAAGGGTAGAATAATAAACACAAAGATGAATGAAATAAGAGAAACATCTTTACATCAAACATCTTTCAGCTGAAAATATTGACAGAAAATGTATTTTAATAATCTATGTCATTATTGAAGCTTTTTCTGGTCCTAGCTTTAAACGGGAATGTTTGCTGGTTTTCTTTGGGTTAGTTTAACAAAGCAAGCGATGTAAAGACGTCACCTGGAGCTCTAAGAAGTTGAAATGGACCTTTTTCATGATTTTCTTCTTGAATAATCGACAAAAAATAGTTAATAAACAATGAAAATCATTTTTACATCATCTATACGCGAGGATGGAGTTTAACTGTTTGTTTCTCTGCCTTCTTCTGACTACTTCATTGCTGGTTGGTGCTTGACAGGTAACTCATAAAACAGGTCATACCTGCTCCATATGAAAAGTGCAATAAGATAACGTCTGTTATAAATTGGCGCTCTATAAATGACATTGAATTGGATGATCATACATGCAGCTGATAACAGCTAACACATTAATGGGATCAGATGTCAGTGTTGCCTTGACTAGCCCTGTGAAAGTGTCAGATAGTTGCGCCCGTTTGTTTCTACCTGCTGGAGATTCTCATGCAAGTGACGTCCTGTTTGCTCTCACTGCAAAGTAAATATAAAAAACAGTCTGTGATGTCTGAATGGACAGCCAGGAACTTTTAGGGTAGAGTTAAAGTGGATAAACACAAGCCTGCAGACTGTCACAACTTATGTGCCTCATTCTTTCAGACTGTAAACAAGAACTGGTTGGATCAGTATCAACATAAAGAATTGGGCAAGAGTACAGCAGCAAGGGAAATAACTGTAACTTTTCTGTATTGATGGTTTATGTTGTGAAATACTTGTTGTTACGTCTTGTGTTTCTGACTTCATGGTTACCATCATTTTCATTATTCTGAGCATCTGATGCAGAGCTCTGTTACCCTTAAATCTGATAATCTCAAGTCCAATCTCATCCTGTTTTGAACAATAACCACGCACAATGATAAGCTACAGTATGTTGCACTGCTGAGTTTTTTACCCATGTTAGCCACTTTGCATGACCTGGGCCCTTTGCTGCATGTCCCTGCCATTTTGTCTACCTCTGCTGTCACTATCAAATTAAGCAGAAACACTGGAGAGGAAAACATAAGTCTAACAAAAGTCAAATGTCTCCACCAACTGTTGGGTGTATTGCAGTGAAATTGGGTACAGACATTTATTGTCCCCCGGAGGCAGAATCATATTTCTTTGGTGAGCCCCTGAATTTTGAAATATTTTTGAACAAAAAAATACAGTATGTGAAACGTTACATATGTCCGGCATCTTACAGGGATCCTGTTATCCTGTTATTTAAATCACTGTTATTGATTTAAATTACTCTGTTTATCTGTAAGCAGGTATTCAGCTCAGCATGAGAAAAAAACAGACAAAAAGACAACTTGTTTCTCACCTGCAGGAGGAGGAGAATCTGCTGCTGCTGACAGGACCTGAGATCAGTTTAGCTTATTCCCAATAAGGACTAAATAAAGTGTAGGAAGAGAAGAAACCCTTTCTGTGCGCTTTACGACAAAAGCACTTGAACCTTCAGTCACTGTAGTGGGTGATCACAGGCAAGATGATTGGTCAAAGGCCAACCAATAGTAGGGGTTTGACATAGATAGAGAGAGAAAAAAAAGTATCCTGCCCTGAAAAATGTTTTCCTGTTGTATATGTAAATGTGTGTAAGAGGATATTATATAAAAGGACGTGTATGCTACCTTTGACTGAGGCTGACAGAGGTATTATAAACATGATCCACTCAAAGTTTCATGTTCTGAAAACAAAAGCAGACCTTAAGGAGGAGCATTAAATGTGTGTGTGTGTGTGTGTGTGTGTGTGTGTGTGTGTGTGTGTGTGTGTGAGAGAGGATGTTTGTCTGCTCTTGGTTGCTCAGCAGCAAATCTACAGAGATCAGACACCATGAACCCACAATGCAGTGACACGTGACACATGCAGAGGAAAATGGTTTACCCAAAAACATACATACACAAAAACATTAGGCTTGTTTGAGGTTAAATTAGCTTTCCTTGTGACGAAAAACTGCAGTCCCATTGCTGTCCCAATGTGAGCGTGTGCACAGGGGCCAGCACTGGGTTGCATCAGCAAATTCAATCGCATGCAGAGCTGAAATGAAGTAACATTTATGTCGTAAGTGTCGACCACAATTTCAACACGGAGGAACGCATTCAAAGCGAGTCAGCAAAGCATACATTTAAAAAGCTATAGAGACAAAATCAGACAGAGCGAGCCCTCGTGCCTCTGATATCTCTGTGATTTGGACAAATGGTTGCACCTGACATTTATCTGACTTGATGTACAGAGCTCAGAGTTACTTAAAACAACATTGGCTTGTAAAATACAGGCAAAAGTTTCTAACATTCAATTCAGTTTTACTTATATAACGCCAATTCATAACAGAAGTTATCTCATTGCCCTTTTCATATATAGCAGGTCCAGATCTTTGTCTTTGTAATATTATTTACAGAAACCCAACAATTCCCACCATGATCAAGAGCTTGGCTACAGTGAAAGTCTCCATTTTAACAGGCAGAAACTGCAAGCAGAACCCAGATTCAGGGTGGGCGGCAATCTGCCTCAACCGGAAATTGTCAGATGAAGGTTTCTCAAAAAACAAGCCTTAAAGATGCTCTGATTGGCCACTGACTATAGCACACATGCAGGAGTCGGCTATTGATGTCTTGATCTCTTCACAGAGGACGAAAGGACCGTGTGGGCTGTGTGCTCATACAGTAGCTGTCATTCTACACTACATTTGTTTCACATTATGAATTTTACATTTTTACACATTTTCTGCTGCGTAGAGAAAAACAGATCTAATTTATGGTTAATGTAAATTACGAAAATAATCACTCAAATCAATCAAATGTAGGTAGCTTGGCCCTGTGCTGTGTTTTGGGAGGTGCAGCAAGAAGTATTTAGATCTTTGGTAACACTTTACAATAAGGGACACAACATTTTGACCAGGGAACAAGTGAGGAACCAATGAGAAACAAACTGCTAGCGAAACATTCGTCTACTTAATGAGTAACTCTTAATCAAATTTTATAGACTAGCTGATCTACCTCCATAGTATTTATTAATGATTCCTCAATAATCAAGTCGTTCCTGATTTGTTCCTCACTCATTTCTTAATTAACTAATAATAGTTAATCATTAGCTACTCCTGCCAATTTGATTATGTGTTACTCACTAACTAATGGTTCACTGTTCCCTGTTACTATTCAAAATTGTATGTTCCTTATAAGTGTTACCACATCTTTTACTTTTTACTAAGTAAAATTAACAACACCGCAGTGTAGAAATTCTCTGTTACAAATAAAAGATGGACAACTCCAAATCTTGCCTACAGACCAGTGGTCTAGTGAAGACCCTTGAGAGAGATGGATTACCTGAACGGCATTTGTATTTGCACTATTCTTTGTACATGTGGTTCTATCCATCTCTCGTCCTTCCCTCCCTCCCGTTGGCTTACATTTTGCAAATGCTTAAAGCACGCTGAGGTTTTGGAGCCACGATGAAATGAACAAAGACTAGTGTCGTGTTTCAACAAGAAACAAAACAGACTTTAGGTGTGTCACTGAGAGATACTGATGGGAAGAGGAAAATAAATGTAGTTGGAAGTTGAACATCCAAAATAAATAACTACTCTTTTCTCAAAGTGAAAACAGAATACGAAGCTATGAGAGTGGTGAGAGTGAACCAGAACAGTGAAGTTGTGCACCAGACAGGTAACGGATGAGCTGAAACTCACTATAAAGATCTGTAAAGCCGAGGAGAGCAGTATTCCAGTTAAGGTATCTCATTTATTTATTTTTTTGTATTAAACTGTTGGTGTCTCTGCTGAAGACTAGTTACCTGTTGTGACTTGTTTCTTGTGATGATGGAAAGCTGACAGATTGTTTTGTATGTGTTTTTCCATTTACCCAGAAACACAGACAGCCTACAAGACAGAACTTGTTTTCTTAGTGCTCTTCCCATGAAAGGTATGTTGGTATAATGATGCGATCTCAAAGCATTGTGATAGTTTGTATTGGGGGTTATGGTTTCACATTTGTCATTTATTGTCCTCAAAATACTCCTTCAATTGAAGCTCCACCTTTTAATGTCATCTGAGACAATCAGGAAATAGAGGTTATCTTCTTCATGGCTCATTCACAGGAGATGCACCCTGAGAGACATAACATCCATCTTCATAACGGACAGGAGAGGTACAAGATGCAGCACTGGAATACTGAATACTTCAACTGGAAGGAATAAAAAACACAAATCAAAGTGAAAGTAACTAAGGGAACTTCTTGCAGCAACAAGGGGAAACTGACTGTCTTCCTGTTTTAGCGTTCTGCCTGGTGTGTTTCATTCGATTCTCTCAAGGACAAAATGGCTTCCTGTTCAGAGAGGGATCTCACCTGTCCTGTCTGCCAGGACATCTTTAAAGACCCTGTTCTCCTGTCATGTAGCCACAGCTTCTGTAAAGCCTGTCTGCAGAGATGGTGGAGAGAGAAACTAATAAATGAGTGTCCGGTTTGTAAGGAAAGACCTTTACCTAGTGATCCACCACTTAACCTGGCATTAAGAAACCTGTGTGAGAACTTCCTAACGGAGAGAGATCAGAGGGGTTCAGCTAAGTCAAAGTCTCGCTGCAGTCTGCACTCTGAGAAACTCAAACTCTTCTGTCTGGACCATCAGCAGCCAGTGTGCCTCGTCTGCAGAGATTCAAAAACACACAACAACCACAGATTCAGACCCATCGATGAAGCTGCACAGAATCACAGAGAGGAGCTCCAGAAATCCCTGAAACCCTTACAGGAGAAATGGAAGTTCTTGAAAGAAATGAAAGGAAACTGTGATCAAACAGCAAAATACATTAAGGTCCAGACTCGACACATAGAAAGGGTTATTAGGGCCGAGTTTAAGAAGCTTCACCAGTTTCTACAAGAGGAAGAGGAGGCCAGGGTTGCTGCTGTGTGGGAGGAAGAAAAGCAAAAAAGTAAAGTGACCAGGGAGAAGACTGAGTCTGTGAGCAGAGAGATAGCAGCTCTTTCAGACACAATCAGAGCCACAGAGGATGAGCTGAGAGCTCAAGACGTCTCATTCCTGCTCAACTACAAGGCTGCAGTGGAAAGAGTCCAGCAGCGCCCCCTGCTGGAGGATCCAGAGCTGGTCTCAGGAGCTCTGATAGACGAGGCCAAACACCTGGGCAACCTGACCTTCAACATCTGGAACAAGATGAAGAAGGTGGTCTCCTACACTCCTGTGATTCTGGATCCAAACTCTGCTCATCCAGAACTCATCCTGTCTGGAGATCTGACCAGCGTGGGACGTGGACAGAGACAGAAGCTTCCTGAAAACCCAGAGAGGTTTGATTCATTCATCTCCATCCTGGGCTCTGAGGGCTTTAACTCAGGGACTCACAGCTGGGATGTTGAAGTTGGAGACAGTACAAGCTGGGTCCTGGGTGTTGCAGCAAAGTCTGTCCAAAGGAAGGGAGACATAAAGACTGGATTGTGGCGAATAGGCTTATTTAATGGTAAATATGCAGCGGCCTCCCCATCAGATCCACGTATTGTTCTCTCAGTGAATAAGAATCTCCAGAGGATCCGAGTTCATCTGAACTGGAACAGGGGAAAACTGTTATTCTTTGATCCTGATACCAACACACACTTGCACACCTTCACACACACTTTCACTGAGAAGCTATTTCCATACATCAGTAATAAGCATGAACACCAACTAAAAATATTACCATTGAATGTCTCTGTAACAGTACAACAGCTCAGTGAGTGATGACGATAGTAATAATCTCTTAAATGTGAATACCAAACAATTATGGGTTATTTTCAAATCTCATTGTCTTTGTATTTACAGTGTGTTAAGTAATAATTACAGTACTATCTTTTGTGTGTCAAATGCTCACCCTGTAGGTTTGCAGGTTTGAAGCTTTCTCCTGCAGTCAGCCTGAATAACAAGGCAAAACTATACTGTATCAAAATGTACATAGAAACTTCTCAAAACACTTCAGTAAAACCAGCTTCTCTTTTTATATACACTTGAGATTTCTTCCTTGTCTTTATGGTGAGCATTGGTTGGGTGAGGAAATGTTGACTGAGGCAATAAAAAATATATTTGACTTGACTGTGATTGGTATTTAATTGATATAGTATGTTATGACTGGCTGTTTCAGGTTTAATTCAATGATGGTACATTGTGATAATTACTTCCTGAGGTTAAAGTATTTGCTTTTCAATGATAGACTTTGAGTGGTTATGAACTCCATGAGGTTGAAGTGTTATTATAAATTATTATACAGGCCTTAAATAAGCAGTCAGAAGACCAAGTGGACTAAGGTTGTGCAACAAATTGCCTATGTCATATACTGCATCTTAAAAACTAATGTGTTTCTACTCAATTAGCTAGCTAAATTTGATTTTACTGGGGTTTTTTTACGTCTGTTCACAAATAAGACTCTATTTTTTTATTAGGGGTATTTTTAAGATAAGAGATAAGTTAAGATGGACTTTATTGATCCCACACTGGGGAAATTCACTTGTCACAGCAGCTCCAGATACAACACAGCACAACAGATAAGAAAATACACATTGAATAAAAATAGGATGGAAAAATAAAAGATAAATAGGAATAGAAAACTATTAATATAGTCATGTGTACTATCCCTCTGTCCTGGACTAAAAGGCAACTTTATCTACTAGGGCTGTCCCTTTTATACAAAATTCAAATTACCATTTGAACACAGAAAAGTAATTCTTTATTCAGTCTTCAATGATTCAAATGCAAATTTTACAGTACGTAGAAGTGTGCAACATGCTTCCTGCTTGTATTACAGTGATGGGTGCTACAGCATACCCACTCTGATGCATTTGCTGCTTATTTAAATTAATTTACTAGGCTAGACTTTGCAGGGTAACTGAACATTTGTCAATAACTTTAGTTACAAACAACAACATTAAAGTGTCTTTTAAAAACGTAACATTCCTGTTTAGACACACTGAATGAAATGCACAATACACTGTTGAGCAAGTTTATGTTCCAAGGCTGGACATTTTGGTAATGTCAGTACTGTCAATGTGATTTTGACTGACGTTTTATTACTTCTGAAACAGAACCCTAAAGATAGGTTTGACTTTGGCTCTCTATATTACAATTAAACATGAATAATAAAATTCAAATTATTCAAAACGGTTTCGCAGGGCCACACATATACAAACAACCACTCACAATCACACTTAAGGGCAGTCTAGAGTCATCAGTTCACCGAGCCTGCATGTCTTTGGATGATGGGAGAAGCTGAAGCACCCAGAGAGAACCCACGCAGACACGGGGAGAACATGCAAACTCCACACAGAAAGGCCTGGGATGACCAGGGTTCGAACCCAAGACCTTCTTGCTGGGTGTGGACGGTGCTAACCACTGCAACACCGTGGCTAGACATAAATAAACATAAATATTATTATTATTATGAATTATACCAGAGACATACGGCATCAGGTTGAATGAGTCAGTAATGTTTATTAAATAAGTGGCATAATGTATGATGAACCATCAATATGGATATTTAGGCTAAATCTCCTACAATAGTAATTATCTCATGGATGAAGACAATGGAGGATAGAAATTCAGAAAGTTATGCTAAAAAGCTGTTTGTTGGTTTTAAATTGAGACACAGCTGACAGCTGGTTTTGACAGCTGATTTTTAACATAAGCAACTCAAATGTGCAAAGAAGATGGCAGGTGTAACTTGGTGTGAGCAGGAGACAGACAGGTAGCTAGTAGTAGGCGAGGTCTGGTTCCAGAAACTACCTGGCTGCAGATCCAGGTAGTAAAGTCACTGAGGTGTACTGAGGAGTCTTGAAATAAAAAGAACAAAACAGGTGTAACCAAACAGGCTAAAATACAAGAAACACTAGAGACCACATACTAAGTTGGCCTGAGGTACATTAGCATGAGGGGTAAGGAATAAGGAGTCCAGTGCACCTCGAGGAGTTCAAGTAACTCAAGTCTGGAGGGCAGAGTTTGACTAAATGGCAGCAGGAACCAGTCTTTAGCCAGGTCCTAGTCAAAATGAGAAAATCCAAATTATAGGATGCAATTAAATCATTCAGGATAAAAGTGTGTTGGCTGGGGAGATAACTGTAAGGGGGGCAGTGGTACAGTTTATGTAGTGAAGATTTTTATTAACCTGCCTAGTGGTGCAAAGTGGACAAGTAACCCTATTTGTTACAACAGTTTTAATAGGGACATGAGTGAAGGTGTGTGGGACAGGGAAGGACAGTAGGGGGTGCCAATACCCAGGTCAGTAGATTGAGTAGAAATCATAGAAGAAGAAGAACTCCACCTCCAACTCACCTGAGACAAGCCCAGAATGAATGTTGTTCCACCAGGAAACGGCACACACACACACACACACTGAGAGACTGATCTCTTTCAGACAAGACCCACAACTCTCAACTTCCCCTGACGGAGAAAAGCTACAGCAGAAAATTCTGGGAGTACTGTCTGCATTCATGGAGGTGAATTTAAGGAGGTAAAATGACTGAGAGTGAACTTTCTAGAGGAGAGAGATGAGCCACAATTGACTGACTTCCTGTTTAACGTTCTGCCGGGTGAGTTTTCAGCCTCACTCAGACAGAGAAAATGTCTTTCCGAGCTGAGGAGGATCTCTCTTGTCCTGTCTGCCAGGACATCTTTAAAGATCCTGTTGTCCTGTCATGTAGCCACAGCTTCTGTAGAGACTGTCTGAGGAGATGGTGGGGACAGAAACAAATACAGGAATGTCCAATTTGTAAGAGAAAATCATCAAGGAGTGATCCGCCTCGTAACCTGGCGTTAAAGAACCTGTGTGAGGCCTTCTTACATGAAAGAGATCAGAGAGCTTCAGCAGAGTCTGGCGCTCTCTGCAGTCTGCACTCTGAGAAACTTAAGCTTTTCTGTCTGGACCATCAGCAGCCAGCATGTCTCGTCTGCAGAGATTCAAAAACACACAACACACACAGATTCAGACCCATTTATGAAGCTGCACAGGATCACAGAGAGGAGCTCAAGAGGTCCCTGAAACCCTTACAGGAGGAACTGAAGCTCTTTGAACAAGTTAAAGGAAACTGTGATCAAACAGCAGAACACATTAAGGTCCAGGCCCGACACACAGAGAGGCGGATTAAGGAGGAATTTATGAAGCTTCACCAGTTTCTACAAAAGGAAGAGGAGGCCAGGATCGCTGCTGTGAGGGAGGAAGAGGAGCAGAAGAGTCAGATGATGAAGGAGCACATTGAGGCTCTGAGCAGAGAGATAGCAGCTCTTTCAGACACCATCAGAGCCACAGAGGAGGAGCTGAGAGCTCAAGACGTCTCATTCCTGCTCAACTACAAGGCAGCAGTGGAAAGAGTCCAGCAGCGCCCCCTGCTGGAGGATCCAGAGCTGGTCTCAGGAGTTCTGATAGAGGAGGCCAAACACCTGGGCAACCTGACCTTCAACATCTGGAACAAGATGAAGAAGATTGTCTCCTACACTCCTGTGATTCTGGACCCAAACACTGCCAACCCAGAACTCATCCTGTCTGAAGATCTGACCAGTGTGGTACGTGGACAGAGACAGCAGCTTCCTGAAAACCCAGAGAGGTTTGATTCATTCATCTCTGTACTGGGCTCTGAGGGCTTCAGTGCAGGGACTTACAGCTGGGACGTTGAGGTTGGAGACAATACAGGCTGGTTTATTGGTGTGGCAGCACAGCCTGTCCAGAGGAAGGGACAAATAAAATCTGGGTTCTGGCAAATATATTTATACAATGGTAAATACAACGCACGTATTTTAGGAGAGCTACCCACTGTTCTCAAAGTGAAGAAGAAGCTCCAGAGGATCAGAGTTCATCTGGACTGGAATAGAGGAAAGTTGTCATTCTCTGATTTTGATACGAACATGCACATACACACCTTCACACACACTTTCACTGAGATGCTGTTTCCATGCATAGGCAATTTGAATCAATTTCCACTGAAGGTATTACCAAGCAATGTCTTTGTAACAAGAGAGTAGCTTAGTTAGTTTCCACCTGATAAATTTAATTTTCAGTCTAATATTCGATCTCCTTTCAACTTTGCTTTGGTCTCCACCAACCCCTGAGAAAAATATCTGTCTGTCTCTTCAGCTGTTAGATGGTCAACTTTCTTTATCTCTGTGTCTGTTTGCTGTTTGATGCTTAGTGGGTAGTGTGCATATGTTCATGTTTTTTTAATGTGTTCATGAGAGTGTCTGCTGACAACAGCTGCCCGCTGCTGCTGGAAACGCTGAGACTGAAACATACAGTAAATGTGTCATGAAACCAAAACTACGAGCTGAAAGAGGCTAAAAAGCTAATTTGAGCTGCATAAGTAGTAAAACTACTCTGTTGGTTCAACAGAAAGAGCGACCCTATTCACAGGTCAAGTATTGATCAGTGAAGCTTGAGATTGAGTCACATGACTGAACCTTACCTTCAAATTTGCATAGCTTCTGTACAGATCTTGAAGTGACATATTTTCACATCTTGCACATCTGCTGTAACTTGAAACGGCTTTATATTGCTACTGAGTGCTGTACGTCTTCCACTTATTGTATACTACATATGTTTATTAGGTTTTTGGTGTATTTATATATATATATATATAGTCAATAACATATGAATACATATAACCTACATTTCATATATTTGATGTATCATTCTTGAATTAGGAATGAATGATTTACCACAGTATGCATTAGAGGCTGAGGAAAAGTCACCGGGGTCGGACCGGGTGGGTAGGTCCATTTTCATATATAAATATGCAAAACATTATTTTCAGATTTCATGGGAACATGATGGGACAGGAGTGTCCCCTTCTATGCATTACTATTAGTTTGTATTTTTTTAGTATTTATTTAATAGCCAGTAATTCACACTTGACACGCTCATTCACACTTATCATACCTTTCTCTTACACTGCATGGCCATGAACATCATATGGTACAGGAAGCCTCCTGCTCTTGGCAAACTTATCATCTCTGGTCAGTGAGCCTCCAGTTCCATGTTGTGTAAGATACGTGGACCCCAGTATACTTGCTTTCACGTCTAGTTGAAGATGTGCAAACAATGGGAAGGCTTTCTAAAAGATTTTGAAACTTGGCAGCAGACATTTTCTTGTTTGTATTAAATTTTCTGCTTTGCTATTGCTATCTAATGCTAACGGCTGCACTTACTTGTTAAGAACTAAATGACTTTAATCTCTTTTGCTCTGGCAGGCAAACATCTAGCTCTTCCTCTTTTTTAATAGCAGCTTGGCCTTTAACAAATACCAGAAGACAAGATCATATCAGCCCTGTTTTCACCTCCATTGGTTTTAGATTTGATTTTAAGATTTTACTGTATACTTTTAAAGTACTGTACTTTAAAGTACAGCCTCAGATCCTCAGGTAGGGCTCTGCTGGCTGTTCCTAAGTCCTGGTTCAAGACTAAAGGTGACCGGGCTTTTGCCTTCAGGACCCTGTCAGCTCTGGATCTCCCTGCTTGAAGATCTGAGGCTGCAGAATCTGTGACATCTTTTAAATCACTTCTCAAAACTAATCTTTAAAAAGAAAAGCTTTTTATTAATGCAAGCATACTGTTTTATTATTGTTAGTATTATCATATAATATTGTTGGGTATTTGATTTGATTTTTGTATTATTTTAATTTTTAATTTTATTTGCCTCATTACAGTGAAATCTTTTAATCCTGGTTCAACCATGTAAAGCATTTTGTAACTTTGTTTTGACAATTACGGTATAAATAAAGTTTGTTATTATTATTGTTATTAAAATTCTTCCCAGTGTTAGTCACTTAGTACATGTAAAATAGCATTTTAAATATTTTATATGCAATTAAGTAGTTTAATCCACTGGTTGGGCTTCTGTAAATAACATCACAGAGTATGGTCTAGACCTGCTCTTTTATGAAAAGCGCTGTGAGATAACTGTTGTTGTGATTTGGAGCTATATAAGTAAAATTTAATTGAATTGGTTGTCAACCTGGGCGTAAGGCCTGTCACAAAGGTCACAAGATAAATCTGAGAGGTTGTGAGACAATTAACAGAAGAGTTCTGATACTATTTTTTTGGTGAATTGTTAATATGTAATCATTTTACCTCTTTGAGCCTCAAACAGTCAGAGTTAGTGTTAAAACCATGTGAGAAGGTCAACAACTCAACAACCAACAACTCATAGACATCTGAAATGTGACAAGGGGTTGGAAACCACTAGTTTAATCATGTTAATAATATCTAATACATAAATGTGTTGTTTATAAACATTTCGTGTGTTATATAAAATAAGGCATCTAATTTAGACCTGCTATAATACGTTAAGCCACACCAGGCCAGTAGAAGTGTCTAATTGGGACTAGGCTTTTAATTAAAATTTTACGGTATTTCCAGATTGTTCAGTCTGTCAGTCTGCATCATATGACCACATGATGGCGCTCCAAACCCTCTCAATTACTCAATCAGGCCTACTAGGCTGTAGTGTGGAGACATCAGGTGTCATGAGAATGTGTTTAGTTTGATGTTAGTTTGTGTTTATGTCATTATTGTTGGAATATGACTTGGCATACATTTTTTCTTCCACATATTCTAACACAGTTTTATTTTTAGTGAGTTAAACCAAAACATGTTAAACACAGATAGGGTGCTTTAAACCTTCCTCTCTTTAACATTGATCAAGTCCTGCCAGTTTCACAAAGACAGACTTTGACTATGGCTTAGATCTAACTAATAGTCAAACTTTTATGAATGAATCTGTTTCACAAAGCTGTCTATGTCTATGTAGGACTAAAGGTTTAATCCTCAATGTTAAAATCGTTCAGCTCTGTCCACTCCAACAGAAAATGAAAGAATTCCACATTTACAAGGACGTTTTACAGGGAAAATTCAGCAAAGAGTCAGCAGGAGCACTGAGGTCACACTGAGGATAGTTTCCTTGGGCAAACAAAAGCGATGCCCTCACTGTTTTATTTCCAACAGGTAACTGCTGCCTCTAAAATATCTTTCTCATTAGTCTCACAACATTGTTAGAAACAGGGGCGTGTCCAGGATGTGGCCTGGGCCCCAGGTGCCACCCCTTTAATACAAATGATTGGTCATCTGCCCAATCAGAGGCGGGATTAGTATGAACCAACTGTGTGACAAACATTTTTGGATGTTTATTGATTTCTTTTGTATGTAGCCTACTTTTGGAGGCACAGTCACTATTTGAGGACATATAGGACTAAGAATAAAGTGTATATTTAGTACATGTGTATAGTGTCACAATGTTGTGTTGTGATTGGTATGTATATTTATCTTTTAAATAAACATTTTCAACACAGGAAGGTCAGATATTGTAATATTAGTTATTGACCATTTGCTGAACCACAGCCCAAATTCACAGCTGGCCAATCACAGCGCAGTATAGGACTCACTCTAACTGAGGTCCCACACTTTAATGAAATGGTAAATTAATGCCAGTCTGAATTTGACAGATCTTTTTGTTAGATCACAAGTTTCATTTCCTTTCTGGTTTTCAGTGTGTGTGTGTGTGTGTGTGTGTGTGTGTGTGTGTGTGTGTGTGTGTGTGTGTGTGTGTGTGTGTGTGTGTGTGTGTGTCTGTGTGTGTGTGTCAGTAAGTCTCTCTTCAGTCTATTAAGAAGTCTTGGTCTGTTCACCAAAAGAGGAAATCCCGTCATTTCAATCCCGTCCTCTCATTGCGGCTCCAAATCTCCGCTGGTGAGACAGAAAACTCGGCTGGTGAGTAAAATAACGTCTCCCAACATTCAAATGTGCTGAAGTTCTGATGATAGAAACAAGGCTACAATTTTTATTCAATATTTGTTTATGCTGTTCTGTCAACATTGCAATGGTAAGACAGCATAATTTAACTCAAACATTTTATAATTTAAAGATGATCTGTGACAGATTATCTACCTGCAGAAAGGTTCAAGTCTCTGCAAGTTGATTTTTGTGGAAATTAACTGAAATAAATATCAATGTATTTCGAATCTCAATTGAAATAATTCCATGTAGGCCACAATTATCATTTACTCTACGCAAGTGGTTTAAATTTAGGTAAATTAGCTTTTGTGATGTTGGACACTTTCTCTTTTTAGATTGTTTTTATGTATGTGAATGCAAACCAAACCAGCTTGCCTCAGATTGCCCATTGTGGGACAAACTGAACAATTCAGAATTAAAATAATTCCATCACTTTTTACTTTGGTTTTCCTCCTTCCAGACAGCAATTAATTTCAGTTAATTGCAATGAAAAACAACCTGCTTTGAATCTCTCTGAGGACAAGCTTGAACCATCTCAGTGAACATTTTGTTGCCTTTAACTTTAAATGATATTATGTTTGAGTTAATGTTTTGCTGTTTACAACAAAACTGCGATCTGAAATGCCATTACTGAAGCTTTCTTAAATTGTGCGTTTATATTTTAAAAGACTTTATCACGTTTGAATCAGTGGCGTAGCCAGGAGTTTAGTAATAAAAAACCATCCAACGAAGGTTAAAATCAAGGGCAACTGGACTTGGTTGAAGATGGTTGAAGTCCAGTTGCCCTTGATTTTAACCTTCGTTGGATAACTATGACCTGGATGACTGAGAATCTTCATAGACATCGTAATAAAAAGCCCAAATCCCCACCACTATTCCACACTGACACAAGTGTCTCCAATGTTTTAATTATCAGAGATGTCACATTGTATTGATATTGATTAACTGTTTAATTATATTCTCCTGTAAAATGTGCTTCCTAATATAAAGTTCAATGTAAATTATGTTTCAAATCCTTCTCCACACTTTGAGAAATTTAATTCTAGTGTAGAAATACCGTTGGCCTAAAACTAGTCATATTTATTGAATCTACAAATACTGGAATCAACATAAAAAATACCCAAGATGTGTTAGAGGAGTTATTTATCACAAAATTATTCCCAGAACAAATTACAGAGTGCAAGAACTCAGTGTCAAGAACTAATCATTTAAAGTCTTTTGTCATTTCTTCTCATCATCTGTCTCTTGAGTCTAATTTCCATACTTACCACCTTCATCTTCCTTTAAATATCATTCATAATTCAATCCAGTGTTTTGGACCATGGGAGATTATTATGGGCTGGTGGTTCTGGTGGGCGTGGCTTCACTTCTGACGACAAGCCCATGTGATGCGAGCTGCAGTGGAACAGACGGCCATGCTGGAGTACCAGGAGCTCCAGGCAGAAATGGATGGCCAGGACCGAAGGGGGAGAAAGGAGAACCAGGTAAATGCCTCCTGAATATACAACAACACACAGAGCGGCTGCCTGCTGTGTTCTGCAGATCTGTTCTTCAGACAGCTTTCTGCATGGGACCTGAACTTTTGTATTTTATTTATTTGTTTGCTTTGTCCTTCCACGTAGGGGAGACCAGGGATGGTTGTAACATGTCATGTCTGACATTTGTGTCTGTATCTCGAGCACTTTTAAGCCAGTGCGATCAAAATGTGATACAAACTACATGTTACATGTGTCTGCTATTAAATGGTGTAAATGTTATTACTGCAACACAGACAAAAAATGCATGGTTTAAGGAGTGAAATGTAATCCCCCCACTGGTCTGGGTTAGTTTTAACATACCCTGCTGTAACATTGTGCTATAGGTATAATATGAGAAAAACATGATATTGAAAGCTTTCAATTGAACACTTTTAAGATAAGTGTTGTGAATTTGTGTCTGGTTGTTGGGTTGATCAAAGTGTTTGTCAGTCATAGTGGTGAACATAATTATAACATTTGATAAAATGTGCAAATGTTTGTGTCTCCAGCTGTGATGGCCAGCGGCCCAGTGGATGTAGGCGTCCTGATGCGTCTGAAGGGGGAGACGGGAAGTCGGGGCTTGCCGGGGGCCATGGGTCCTAAAGGTTACCGTGGAGATCTGGGAGCAGCGGGTCAGCCTGGAAACATCGGTCGCCCCGGCCCTCCGGGAAAAAGCAGTGCCCAAGGTAATGACAGGATTTCTGACAGTCTACAGCAGTGGTTCTCAAACTTTTTCTGTCACGCCCCCCTTCAGAAGCCAAAAAAAGTTTGTGCACCGCCCACCCCAGCAAAGGTAGATTTAATTTTTATAAATCATTAACAATACAGGAGATTGAAACGAACTGGATTCAAGTTAGTAAAATAGCCTTGCTACAATCAGAGCACTTTACTTCCAGTAACATCCAAGACCCCCCCCCATCATGCTGAACTCATTTACAATATAAAATATCAGTTGATCAGGCAGAACCTATATATAATTAAAACAACCCGCTCAAGCTCCTAAATTGAACAAATAACTTAAAAGGCAAGGTGTTATCTTACTGGAATAAGCTGGCAGCGTTTAGCGCTGTTAGTACCAAAGTGCTGAAATCTCTTCGACAGGTGAAGACAGACATTATGATATGCCGGAGAGAAAAAAAATGTACACTAGAAACTATAGAAACATTAAGATGGATTACAATGATAACTGAACAAAAGAATTACATTCAGCTCTGTCGCAGAACGATTGTACAAAAGGGGAAAGGTGAAGAGGGCTAAGGGACTGCCACTTAGCCTCCTAGCCAATTTAGCCCACTCACGGTACTGCAACACAAAAAATCCCCTGTGGCTAATAAAGCATTGTTTTAGACCTCCATTATAAATAAACGTCTATACAACTGTTAACATGACACCTCAAACCACAAACAAGCTCAACATATCATGGTTTGTGGTTTGTGTGCTATTATTTCCTCTTTACTTTCCTTTTTTAG